ATTGAATTTAAACTTATAATTTGTATAATTATTTTTCTATTTGTATTAATACAATTTATTATTATCGTATATGGTAACTCACCCTTGGGTGCCGGTTTGCTTTTCTTTTTGCCTCCCTTTTCTGGTTTTGACACTCTTGGCGGTGGCGGCTCAATTACTAGCGAAACAAAATTGTGTACCATATAAGTAAATTAGTGGTTAATATAATATATTAAAAAAAAAAATTAACTAATACAACAATTTACTTTGTAAACAAGGATTAATAATAATGCACCATAACCTATCCTACCTTCACAAAAATCTTTGTGTATTTTTGTTACTCCAGAAACTCAGGTTTATTTATAAATTATGTTGTTTTGCATTAAAAACTCTTCAGTAACAAGCAGTTCTTTACTCTTAAAAACGCGCCCAATCGCCTAATAGATAAATTTTTGGTATGAGTGACAAGTTACTTTCCAAAATAGGTTAGAAGATTCCGTTATTTATCCTCAAAACTTAGCACGTCTATACAATTGTTTTGATAGTCGATATAAAATTTAATTGTAGTGCTCTCATTCATTTTCGTATTAACTACCAGTAAACAACTTTATATTAATTTTTTATACAATAATATATAGAGTAGAATTAGAATAATGAGAGCAGCAAAGTAGTTAATCTAACACACCTAATAACGCAGTTAAGAGAAGTATACGAAAATTAAAAATGTAATATTTACCCCACAGTGATTAAACATCTGCGCTTAGCAGAGTTTACTACTAGCGAACATTTTGTGTTTTCTCATATTTATCAAAGTCCCAAATATAATTAGAAATTAATTTAACATAACAATTATTTGGGGACTAGCTAAATACGTATATAAATACAAATATATACAGATTAATATACCAGCAAGTGGCCCTTTGATGAACAGTTATAGTCAACAAAATAACCACAACAAAGTGTATATAACCAGCTTAGCACTGCCGAGCGACAAAAACAACCGGTAGCTGTAATTGTTGCACCGGCGGAATTGCGTCTTCCAAAAAGCATACACACACGCACATGCATATAAATAACTTTAATGTAACGGCGATGTGTTGCTAAGCTGTTTTAATGCCTCCCTTAACTGCCACGAAACGTGTTGCCTATCGCCCCGCTAGCACGACGCTGTCGAACACTAAGGAACAACAACCGACTTTCTTGGAACGAAGATTTTACTGCAGTTGCATGTTTATGCAGCACATTGTTGCACGTGCAAATAACACTTGTAAATAATTGGAGTTGCTGTTTCCACAAAGCTGCCTGTGTGAAACTCTAGTAAGTTTGCCCTGTTGCGGCATGTTGCAAATGTTCTACGCGCGCCACGCTGGCGCAACTGGGCCAAGACAATTGTCAGCGGTGGCACCTGCAGTGTTGGCATTAATGTGGCGCGCCTGCTTGCCACTACCAGATGCTGGCAGCCATCCAATTGTTGTTGCTTGTGTTTGTTGACGGCAGCAGTCTATCGTCATCTTTGACGTCCAAGCATCGAGTCTCCTGTCTTCAAACTGCTTAACTGTCAATCATACTTAGCTGTGCCTCTCCCGGTGCGCTCTACTTCCTTAGGGCGCATGCTTATGTGTCTATCCTGCTTTACTGCGCTATTTGAGTTTTACAACACATCCTCGCAAATATTGCCTTGCAACTGTATGGCCATGTCGCATTAGGTGGCACATACATACAAATGTATGTACAATAGAATGGGGGAGTGTGAGCAAATGCAAATTGCGTGTTTGGTCAGTGTTGAGCTTCATCAGCGTAAATCCCTCAACAGGCGTTCACATTGTACACCTTCAGGTGTAGCCCTAACGGGAAATGTCTATTTCAGCGAGTGCTAAATGTAGCGACGCACGACCATTGCTGCTGACCACCATTCTTGCAACACTAATATACATACATTTATGTGTGTATGTTATATGCGAACGAAGGAAGCCGAACATGCTGGAGCTACGGCTCAAAGCTTCTGTTGCGGTCGTAGCATACTATCTGCTTGTACAGCACTTGCATATGTTGCCGGCGAGAAATTCATAGGGGTAACTAAGACGATACAGTACAAAACTCAGAACCACTACAAAAACTTAAGACTCAGGGTGGCGTCGGAACTACAACAAACTTTGCATTCGTGGCTCGGGTGGCACATATGGGCTCTACACCCACAATAGACTACGATTGCCGAGGTACACAGTAATTCGTAGTTGTAGTTAATCTCTCCTTCGCATGATTTCATTACACTCACCCTCTTCCAGCACGGTAATCTCCTTCTCGACCATCTTGTCGTAGTAGGTGCGCCACACCGTCAGCAACACCAATTTTATGTCGGAGTTTCTCAGGCATTTGTCGTTCAGAAAGTGTGTGAACTCTTCTACGTGATTATCCATCAATGCATTCACACTTTCGGGATCGTAGACACCTACCATATTGCTGATGATGTAACGTAACCACAGCAGGCGGTTATCTAGTTCCACAGCCATGTGTGATTCCATGGTTGGCAGATTATTGTTGCAATATTGCGGGTGTTGCTAATACCGTTGGCAGTTGTTTTTGTTGTTGTGGTCTGCTTTAACACAAATCGAATTGGAATCCTCAGATCAGCTCTGATTGCAGATGACAAATGTGTTGCAAGTTCTTGCAGCTGAAAATGGAAAGCAGAATATAACCAATCCAATGCAATCACTTGTATTCGTTGTTGTTTTCGGTGTAAGTAACAATCGGTGCGATTCGTAGAACATGCAAATCAAAATGTAAATCAAACTGAAAATCCATCGATTGTCACATGCCACATTGGCAGGTAACGCAAATCGAACAGAAACAGAGAGAAAGTAGGGTTGAATAAAAAACAGTAGGTTTTCGTTTAATATTTCGTTAAGTTGTTGATGCGTTGTTATATGCGTGTCTATTTTAAATATCAGCACCAAAAAATTGTAATGAAACGAAAAACGCGACACTCTCTTTCAAATCCTTATAATTATTTTGTATTTTGACAAACTCTGCAGAGTGACGTGTCTAACAAACATTTGGTATAAGTACCAAGGTATACTTAATTAGAGAATGAACAGCAAACGGTTATGGCAATTTAATTTACATATTTTAACACGCTACTTTTTATCGAATTCAACAGGCTAGCTTTGAGATCTGAGTTCAAGCAGTGCCGAATCGAAGATGACTAATACCTTGTTAAAAAAATATTGAGTGCATACATATGTACATATATACCATAAATTGCTGAATTTCTTGAAAATATCTCGTTAAATTTAGATAATTTCCATACAATTGTAATATTTTATAGGCTTTCCGACGTTTCCTTCTGGGTTTTACAAATTTCGTGACAAACTTAAGGGGGGAAACCAGTTTAGGAGGCCGAAATTTGAGTGTTTTTTGTGAATTTTTTTTAACTGAGAAAGAATATTTAGAATTCGTTTAAACTTACTACCTTGCAAGTTATTCCTATTTTGAACTACACTTTTAAATTTTTCGAAGCCATTTCCGCCGGAAGTGGTGGAGTTAAAGGGTGGTGTCCTTTGACGATCGCCATCATCTCTGGCCAAAAGAGTTGGAAATTAAATGTTTTGGAGGTGTTTGTACAAAATGTTATGTTTTTATATACTTTTTTTCACCTTTCTTACATGAAAAAATATATTTTACTTAAGAATACCATTCCAAAGTTTGGTTCATATTTTTTGGACTTGAATAAGGAATATTCACACAAATTTTCATATCGATTCGTCAATAACTTTTCGAGCTAGGATTCCCGAAAGTTGGAAAAAAGTCGTT